TAAAAATAATTTTATTTGTGTCTTTTAAGTTTCTTCATTTAATTCTACGATGATGAGTCCTAGTATTCTTTATTTTGTAACTCTTAATCTTAAAATCTAGAACTAATAAACGATGTTGGGTACTTAAATTCTCACTTGGAATGACCTTACAATCTTTAGAATCACGACGATCTCTTCTTCTCATAAGAAAATAATCAGTTTGTGTTTAATTGGATCCACTCTTATAAGTAATAAGATGTTCATCTCTTTTCTTGAATAAAGTATCAGTAATAACAAAATCATACGCTAAAGCAAAATCTAAAATAGCTCTACCTTCTTCATTAGTTACTCCAAAATCGTAGCCACCATGAGTATTTCTGAAGTCTTCTACCACTCTACCGACATGTCCATTTAAATCTTCTCCAATGGAAATTCTTTCTTCAAGAGGTATCATCTGTATTAAGCCTTCTAAGTCATTCCAGAATTTATCTTTAGACCCTATATCTAAACTTACTTGAGGAGCATAAACACTTATAATATTAAAAATCTTAGTATCAATGATAATCTTAAGGACTATAATTCTATCTCCAACTCTATTAATTTTTACAACATTATCTTTCAAACTCTTATCTATAATTACATCTACACCATTTCTAGTGCGACTCTTACCAGAATACCAAAGTTTAAAATCTAAATTATCAATTTTTTTAGCCTTTTCTCCAACCCACTTAGTTTCTTGAATACATAAGATATTAATTTCTCTATGAATCATAATATCAACTAATTCCATTAATTTACCATTGAGAGTACCTATATTTCAAGATCCTATCCTAATATTATTTTCATTAGTTTCATGCACACGGACAAATGACCTTATTTGAAAATCATAAAAATGAAACGTTTGCACATATTCTATTCTAAAATGCTCATGTAAACAATATGCTTTGAATATTCTTAAGGCTATGGACATGTGGCATGAAATAAACATCGAATGTCCTGCAAAATTATATCATATAAATACAAGAAAAAACGGTTCATGTGAGCACATTAAAAATTTGTAAATGCACCAAAAAAATATGCAAATGCATTTGGTAAATACACTAAAAAATTCGCAAATGTAACATGTAATTGTATTGAAATGCATGCAAGTGTATTATGCAGTTGTACTGAGAGACACATACTTCATTAAATAGTTTGTTTGCCTTTGCTTTGGTAATGTGCTAAACAATTGAACATTTCGTCAGAGAATGCAAGTTAGAGTAAAGATAAGATGAACTCAGATTTACCCTGCCTTAAAATAAAAAAAAAATAAAAATCATGGTGGGTGCATTATGCATATGCATTAGAAGGCACACATATCAAGTACTGAATGTCCATATGTGCTCCAACCGACATTTCTAAATATTCAGACTGAGGGTACTATGTTTCAAAATATGAAATAAATTGAAATTTACTTTGCATCAATAAGCATGTAGTTGCTGTAATCAGTGCGTGTAATTTTGAAAAAATTAAAATTTTCTTCAAGTACTACAGCTCAAACTTGACATGTATGCACATTCTCGAGTGGTTCACAAGTTTGATCCTTCATTTTATAATTATTGGAGTTAAAAAGGTTTTTATTAAAGAATAATTTTTGAACTTATATCCCTGGTTTATTACAACAAGCTCATCATTAAAGATTAGAATTAAATGCTTTCCACCAAGCTTCAAGTGTTATTTTGTAACACATTAACATTTATATCCTTGGTTTAATAAAATTAGCTCATTATCAATGATTGAGTATTAAATGCTTTCTAATAAGTTTCACATGATATTTTGTCGCTAGTTAACATACAACCTTCAATATATTTTACAAAGTAAATCTATTTCCAATTAAAAACTCTTGATGATGTTACATTCATAAACTACAATTGTGTTCCTTCTACAAACTTTATTCTCTATATTTGAGGTAGAATTGACAAGACTGCAACACAATGAATGTTATAGGAAACTGAAGTAATGCAAATTATATGTCTGATCCTCTACTTATAAGAATAGAGTCAATAAAATATTTAATGCAAATAAAAAATCCTTTGCAAGCAAGCAAGTAGAGTTAACATGATCCAAATGACATAATTGAATCATTTCTTTCCTCATGGTGATTGTGTTTATAAACAAATTCAACTCTAGGAGATCTTATTATTGAAATGGCTCAAGTTATATGCAATTTACTTTGGAGTTTGAATTTTGATAAATGTATGTACCCACACAAACATCAAGAAAGTTTTAAAAATTTAAATCCTTTTTAAATTAAATCTATTGCTTCAAGCTTAGAGCAAAATCCATCAATTCTCTATCAACTTGTTGAGGGTGATGAATGTAATATTCATCTTAGCTCCCAACGAGTTGATGACATACCTCTTTGATTACTTTTTGAAGATCTCACGTTAGTAAATGGTTAGCTAGAGCTTATTTCTTGGGAAGTTCGCCCCTAATGACACTATTATATATGGTCACGTTCGAAGCCCCATATGTTTCAAATGGCCAAGGCCTTGAGTTGTAAGTCAAAGGTGCATTTGATAGTAATATAAATTCATTTGGTAGCTAAGGTTAATTTAAAGTTATTATCGTAGACAAATATTTTCCTTAGGTCTACAAGATTCTTTTGGGCGAGACAACTTATGTTTGTTGGTAAAGTTCTTTCTAAGTTTGTGACCAAAGTCCATGATAACTCTGGAATATAAAACCATGAGATCTTAATTGAGTTGGCATCCCTCCCCTCAATATTCACCCTTGAGCTAACCATTTTAAAACTTTCATTCTACAACCAAATTATTGCTTTTTTATGCTAAACAATTATTGCTTACAATTAGCATTATTCAAAAGTTCTCTTTCGTTATATTGAGGGGTAATCAATCATACGGGCTTATGCCATAAGAAACAAGGAACCGGTTCTTAAAAAACCTTTTAAAATTTGGGTGAATTCTTTGATTAATGTTTTATCTGCTATTTAATATAGCTTCTAAAATTTTGATCTGGAAGAGAACAAATCTCTCTTTTGCAGGGCCGGGAAAAGCATTTTACCTTCCATTAGTGGTAAGTGCTTTTGTTGGTTCAAAAACTGCAATGTTGGATCTCTTCTATTAAAAATCTATAATACCATTATATCATAAAAGATGAAATCTAAATTCCTTATTTTTTGTATGAGAGAGAGAGAGAGAGAGAGAGAGGTATGAAGTTGTTTAGCATACCTTTTAATATAAAATAATGAAGGTTAAATTACTTGTGAGCTATCATTTATGGAGAAGCGTCAATCCTTCATGCCAGAATATCCTTTTATTAAAATGCTTTTTCTTTGAATGATGGTAACCTATATTTCTTGGCGTAATATATATTACATTGACATTTTTTTAATGTCTTTATTTTCTATGCATGTTGTATCTCATTGTTTCAATCATGATCATCTTAAATTATCATGAAATGGATAGCCAACTGTCTGCTTTGTATGTTAAAGTTTATGAACTGTGAGATCTTTTGGGGAATAGAAGAACTCCCTGCAAGTTGTGGCTGGTTTGCAATACGTTTGTTTCACTTGGTTCATCTGTATCTTGAAGCAGATTTCAATCTTTCTTACTATGATAGAACAACATTGCCCCAATGTGTGTATAACATGGTTGATTAGTTGGATTGTTAACTATTTGCAGGATCACATATTTTTTTTTTACAGCCTGCATTTCATTGGAAAACTACTATGTTGATTTAAACAATAGATGGATGCGGGAATGGGACATGCAATCTTTGCAATGCGTAGTAAAAGCAAGATGGTGCACAAATAGAAAGGCGTTTATAACCGTAGCATATTCCAAATGATTGGTATGGATATGTTGGCTAACTACTTGCGAATATCATGTATTATAAAGGGTATCACATGCTAAGAAATGGAATAGAAGTTGTAAATTGTTATGGAGTTGGCAACCCTTAAACTTCTTGCGCATTTTGAATCAAAAAATTGGTTCACCTGGTGAATCTATTTGCTGAAAACAGTGCATTATTCGCTAATCTGGGTTGGCTTTGATTGTTGTACCCTGTTATATTTGTCGCTTTCAGGTAGAATTTAGATTGTTGAATTCGGCCTCTAACAGTGAAATTTTAAGTCTGAATTTATTCTCTAGTTGAATTTGAATATAATGCTTCACTTTTATGATCAAACCCGACTTGAAATTCTGATTTTCCTTTATGTAAATTGTTTCATTTTTTCCTTTGTTCTTATATCACTTTAATGTCTGTCTTATAAATTTTGTTTGGAATTATTATTCATTGATTTTTTCTCCTTTTATTTCCTAGATTGAACTATATTGAATTTCCTTCTACAGCTATTTATAAATCAGTTTGTATGTATGAATGTGGATGCAGATACATGATGTCGTAAGGTATAGATTGCATCGGATGAAGAAAAAGTTAAAGGATGAATTGGACAGTAGGAATACCATCCAGCAGTACATATGCCCTAATTGTGGTAGAAGGTATCCACGATATCAGGCAGTGTTTTAAGTTTGAAACTCATACCAAGTTTCTCAGTGTTTGGACGTGCCGAAATGAATGTGCAGATATTCAGCGTTTGATGCACTGCAACTTGTAAGCATGACTGATGAGTATTTTCACTGCGAAAGCTGTAATGGTGAACTTATTGCTGAGAGCGACAAACTTGCTGCTGATGAAATGGGAGATGGAGATGATAATGCCAGGAGGCGAAGAAGAGAAAAGTTAAAAGATATGCTTCAAAAGATGGAGGTATTCTCATGAAATCACTTCTATAGATGGTTTCCCATGAAAATTATGCCTTAGTATATGATACTTAAATGTTTAACATGATATGGGGAATATTGCTAAATGCTTGCTGGTTCAATTATGCATTTTTTAATTTTCATTTTAAATTATTTACACTAGTTCTTTTAAAGAATGAGATTGATGCATGACTCCCATCGCATCTAACCTTGTTTAAATGAAGAGAACAATGTTTATTGGGGTGATTATCTTATTATGTGTCTAGGAGTTGAGCTAAGGAAATGGTTGATTGTCATGGCATTCTAATAAAACACCAAATCTTGCATAACAGTTTTTGTATTAATGTGTAATGTCATCTACATTGGCATAGTAGGTTAGGACAAAAAACTGAAATGTGAAAGAGAAGATAGTGACATCAAAGGTGATTTACTCACCTTGAAATAGTTGATCAATCAATGTAATCATAGAAGTCACTGGAGGGTTCTAGGAGAAAGGAAATGGCATACCAACAACATGAGGACTAATGAAAGTTACGAGGTGCTTCTTTGTAACTTTTGGATCTCATGTCATTAATTGCGCTACAGGATGTAAGTTCGTTGAGATGATGTCACTTTTGAGGTGGCAGTGCTACGGGATATTGAGAGGAGGACAAGTTAAGATCATGGAAGTGACGAAGTTTCGATGGTCTTTGATTCCCAACCCAAAAGAAGAGTCTGGAGTCATGCTACGGTTGTGAGCTATGGTGCTGTTGTCATTATACCTAAATTTATGGAGTCATGCTACGGTTTTGAGCTATGGTGCTGTTGTCATTATACCTAAATTTATGGAGTCATGCTACGGTTTTGAGCTATGGTGCTGTTGTCATTATACCTAAATTTATGAATTGAAATAGTTAAGGCTTTTCAAAAATTAAGTAAAGTTCTGAGGAAAAAAACTACAATAATCGAAAAATTACTAGAATTATTTTGATTTTCTTATACTACGTTAACTTCCTAAGGGTTGTTTGAGCTCTTCTCTGTAGAGTTATGCAAAAGCCTTACTGGAAGTTTGATATCCATATAGGGGGTTGTGGAATTTATTCATGATTATTTCTTGAATCTACATCATATATGGTTTGAACGCATGCAATATGACCCTTAGAGGCGTTTGGTCTATTCTGCACTCTGTGGCATGCATCATATACTTTGTTTGATCTTGACCATACAAGGGGCTCTCATAATCACTAGGCGGTTGTAGCAGTGGTAACAGGAATTCAATATATATATTTTGTGATGCAACCATTTTGGAACCTGTGGAACATTTGTGTATAGAGAAACTTTGATTCTCTTCCATATGCATATGATAGTTTGTCTACACGCCTCTCAATAAAAGAGGATCAAACTAGATATAGTTCGTTATGATATTTAATAGTGATTGTTGTTTCTATAGCCTTTTTGTAACTTCGTGGTGTGGTGGTGTATGCCATGATGACTGAACTCGGATAATCCAAGTTATCATATGCAACCTGTATTTATGTAAAAGCTAAATTATTTGTATTGAATTAAATGTACATTTTGGGCTTAATAACTTATGAATTGATTAGAAGATTTGAGCTAAATCGAGAAATGTGTTTGTTTATGTCATGAAATTATACACACGCATGAACATTCTCTCTCTCTCTCTCACACACACACACACACACACACACATGCATTCATGAATACACACACACACACACACACACACACATACATGCATTCATGAAAACATACATATTGTATGTAGATATGAGAGTTGAATGAGCATTGAAGTTGTAGATGATGAAGATATTGAACCTTCTTGCTAACTCAATAATTATTTTATTGAAGTAAAGAAAATATTTTATCGAGATTATCTAAGTTGTTTATCTAGAAATATTATTATTAATTTACATAATATGAATGTGCGGTCGAGGTTTACAAATATATTGTAAATGCTAGCTTTGCTCGAAAGCAAGTATATTGTGGTTTTATAAGATGAGTATCAAGTGTATGTATGAGACTGTCGATAATGGCTTATATAATTTCTGGAGTCTTTGAGACTGTCGATAATGGCTTATATAATTTCATAATTAATAATTGGGAAAGTAGTAAGTAGTGTTAAGTAGTTTGCATAATTTAAATATGTGGCAATGATAACGTCGATGTGAACATGTAACTCGCGGAAATGAACTTGGGCATAGCTGAGGCGATTGGTGTTATCGTTGAAATGACTAAATAGATCATCAAGACGAACGGGCACATTCATTGGAGTATCTTTTTATGAGTTGTTGAGGTCTGTTTGGAGTAGTAATTTATTAAATGGCTTGGACATATTTATTAGAAAAAAATGATCTGCTATTGTGGAGCGAAATCTAAGAGACTAACTTACCTCAGAAGTTTGTGAGAACCTTATTGAGGTTGCTAAGCTTCTTTCCAAGGTTGCCAAAATCCATAGGAAGCTAGCTGAGGCCATGAGGTGTTCATGAAGTTTTTTTTGAGGTGACAAGGGGCATTTATGAGGTATCTGAGGTTGCTGTTGAGAAGGCAAAGCATCTTTTACCAAGGTGTTTGCCATTGCTATTGATGTATCTGGCATCATTGTTTAGGTTTCTGTTGTCATTTTTGAGATGCTTAGGTTTCTGTTGTCATTTTTGAGATGTCTAGGTTTCTGTTGTCATTTTTGAGATGCTTAGGTTTCTGTTGTCATTTTTGAGATGTCCAAAATTAGGAGACTAAATGAAGATTGTCTCCTGGGCTCCTATCCTTGAGTGAGGTAGTCAACCTTATCTTCTTCCTTCTCCTGGTCATACTAAAGGTAAGGTGCGGAGCAAGGCGCTGACGACGGCTCCATACCAGGTTTCAATTGAAACAAAGAAGTTTGAACCACCCGACATTTAGTGAAATTTCACAGGCTTCTACCTTTGACTGGTCACATCGAAAAGTCAACTCTTTCGAAGACTCCCACTCCAGGCACCTAAGAGGTTTGTGCTCACTTACAACACCACTGATTCAAGACTTTGTTTGTGCTGTGGCACTTGGGATGGTGGAACATCAAGAGTTGATCTTAATGCTAGATTTTAGTGAGATGGGACATTGTCTTGGAAAACATGGCACATTAAGTTGGTTGTCAAGTTAGGTGTTAAAATGTTTAAAGCCACTCCCTGGACGGTAAGAGAGTATTATGAAACTCCAAGCTGTTATTTTGTTTAACTTCAATTAAAAGTGAGGACGGAGGACTTTAGTAGGTTTTTTTAGTTTGTCACATGGGACTTTTGCTAGGTTGCATTGCAATTAGATGAATTAAAATTATTTTATTGTTTGACAGCCAAATGTAGATGAGTTCGAGATATCATGCTTAAATTCTTTGTCGTACGAAATATAAATTTCTTTTTGAAGAGTATGAGAGCGGGCACAAATGTCAGATTTTGTCACTCCAAATGTTCTATCCAACGTGAAATGAATGCGGGGATATAAGTAAAGCTAAGCGAGTTAAAATGCTTTTCCCAGCTTCTCTCAATCAAAATGCTTTTCATGGCTTATTCAAATTTATGCCGAGAAGGGTTTTCTTCAAGAAGGTATTTGAAGGCTTCCTTATTGTCTAGCTGCTCCCTTTCTCTGTGTCACCTTCTTTTTTGTATATTAGTCTCCTTGTCACGATTTTTTTGTATAATATGGTTAATAGATTCATTGAATAACTTGTACGTGAAAATGAAAGTTTCATTAATATCTTTTAGGTGTGCATTGCTTTTGCGCTTTTTAATAAATGAATTCTGAATCAAACATCTTATAATTTATTTTATCATTAAAGAATTTGTTGGATGATTGATTCATGAGTGGCATAGTCTTTCAATATTTAACTTGATGGATTCAAAATTGGGTTTGGTCCACAAATTGAGTTTAATTTTGGACATGAATCAATTTATAATTTTCAACATGTGTCACACATTTTATTGGTGCAGAGATTTTGAGTGATATTTTATTTTCTTAATTCATTGCTAGGGCTATTTTTGAGAGAAATTATTGTGAGAATTTGACGTTGTGCAAAAAAAAAAAAAAGCAAAATATTTCCATTTAATTGTAAATTAACTTATAATTGGTTTACAATTGATCTAAGCCTTTTTTTCTACTTGATTCTTTGTATTAATTAAGGTAAGAATGAAATAATAAAATAAGGAGTATATAAATTATAATATATATTAGAGAGTGTTCTTGTAGATGAATATATCCGCGATTGTGTTGGTTTAGCCTCAGTGGCAGACAAAATTAGAGAGAGCCGTCTTAGATGGTTTGGTTACATTAAACGTCGACCATCTGATGATCTGGTTAGGAGAGCAGATGTTTTAGATTTGATTTATGTTAAGAAAGACAGAGGTAGACCTAGAAATATTTGGGCATAGTATAAAAAATGATCATAATTTATTAGAATTTAATGAAAATATGACATTCAATAGAAGGCAATGGAGAAAAAGGTTCATGTAGCTGACCCCACTTAGTGGGATAAAGGGTGGTTGTTGTTGATGTGATTTGTTTTTTTTTCCAGCATAAATTTTAAACGTAAAATTAATCTCTACTTTTAGAAGGTAAAATATTTTAAACAATTGAGGGAGCCCCATTATGAAATGGAGTTTTCTTATTGCATGTCAATTTGAAAGCTTCATTTGGAATACTTTTCCTCTAGTTGTGGCCTAAATTATTTTAAATTTGTAGATAGATTTGATTGACGCTACTTATCTATCTTGCATTTGAAGAATTAGATATTTTAAATGATTGAGAAAATTCCATTATGAAATGGAGCTCGTTCATTGCTTATGAAATTGAAAAGCTTCAATTAGACGATTGTTTCCTCCAATTATGTAATATTGCTTAGTGGTTAGATTGATTTGATAGATTTATCACTTTCATTTTTTTCATGATAACTTTCAAACATAAAATACTTTGTTTTTTCATTATAATAATAAAATATTTTAAAAAATTGTGAGTGCCTCATTTTCAAATGTAGCTCTCTCC